AAATTTCTGTTACCAGAAACATTTAAATTTCAGCGTTAGATATCATTTGTAAGATGTAGATACGATTAACTAAAAAAAAACAACTAATTCTGTTATCAGATTACGATTGTAAATATCATTGAGGTATTCTTTACTCAGTTATCTGTTATCTTTTTGTTTATACCACACACAATGAATCTAATAATTCTGTTTTTCTATTTTACCATATGATTAGCAGGTCATGTGAAATACTCACATATTTAAAAGCTCCATCCTATGAATAGTGATGAGTATCTTCACCATTTAGACTTGTAAATTATATGATTATATAACTAAAAGAAATGACGGTAATTCACCATTTAAGATAACTGTAAATAGGCATATAATGAGGTCATTTCTAATATTATTCACCTACATACTTACGCCTGTTTCTCTCGATGGAGCATAGGCCACCGACCAGAATTCTCCAACCTACTCTGTCATCCGCCTTCCTTTCTAATTCTATTCAATCGTTCTACATTCTTCTCATTTCTGTTCCCATTTTTCGAAGTAATGTGTCCTTTTATCTTTTTCTTTTCCTTTGACCTTGAGGATTTCAAGTGAGAGTTTGTCTCGTGATGAAGTTGGGTGCTTTCCTCAATGTGTATTCTACCCAATTCCAGTGCTTCTTCCTGATTTCTTTTTCCGTTGAGATCTGGTTTGTTCTCTCTCACAGTAGGTTGTTGCTGATAGTGTCTGGCCAACGGATCCGAAGTATTTTGTGTAAACAACTGTTAACAAACATTTGTATCTACTGGATGATGGCTCACTAAAGATATATGGGATAATACTAAGAGAAATGACAACACGAATTTTGTATATTCTCCTTTTTCTACATTATAAGACATAAAAATTGTTTCGTTACTGTAGTATTAGTAGTAGTGATATGACCAATATAATAATAGAAGTTCTAGTCGAATGTTCAACATAGAGCGTAATTTAAACTGGGATAAATAGACTTCAAAATGAAAAAGAAAACAAATTCATATCTGGCCAAGGGGGCGACAGACGTATCACAAATTTCTTCCGAACATACAAAGTAGGATTACTTTTCTCGGATTTCTATAGGTTTGCCTATGTGCAGGAAACGGGATATAATCCCATTTGCAAACATCGAAGGTATATGTCAGATCAATAGAAGGAGTTTGGTTTTATCTACCACATAAACGTTATCAGTTAGCTGTGCCAATATAAAGCTATTTATCGTCTACGTCCGGTTCTTTCTAAACCACAGAGATGACCACCCATTCGTTAGTAAAGTTGTCTGATAGTATACTCTCTATAGCTATCTCCGCAGGAGCAGCTGAATTTGTAGATGCACATCGAAAAGCCAGATTCAGATAGCTTATCCTTCGTTCACGTAGATATAACTTATCTGTAAAGCGTCAGTACAATATTAGCTGTTTAGAATGTCTTATTAACTGCTCTTACCAATCTATCATGCAGAGCATCCCTAGTTATTCCCCCTTGAATTGCAGTCTTAGGAATAGGAGTTTCTTACGAGTAGTCAATATCTCCGAATTACTTTTCCACGAATACACATACTACTTTAATGATTACTCGGGTAGCCTATCTCCGTCAGTTTGTTATAAAAATCTACGATTCATTCCTTGTGATATTGTCTGAGCAGATTTTTTTCCTCTGCTTGCGAGACGTCGAACTAGCGGATGGGTATAAAATTACATATGTATGTGCATTGGCAAACAGAAGAGCCCTTTCCACACACACACACACACGCTTCTGTTTAACAAGTCGTCACCCTGTATATGTGATGAGATTTCAATGTTAATTTTCAAACACTTCACATATTGAACTATTGACTTGAGCTTTTGTACTGTATTAGTCTTATCATTACTGGTGCACTTGTCTTCTTGCCATCAATTCATGCTGCTTACCTATTATAAGTATATATTACCGAAACGTGAATGTGTTGTGACGTCCCATGTCTGAGACTGAGTGCTCCAAGTTTTGAACAGGTTTATATTGTTTTATGAGAAATATCTTAAAATCGATTCAAGATTTCACATGCATGGCTGAAAATCACTTATATTTTTTTGGTACGAAATCGAGCCTTGAATACGGTTATGAACGACTTTAGATCATTTAAATTGTATTCCTATGCGGTCTACCTTGAAAATTGAAGGCAACGGCAATAATGCGAGTACATAAATAAAGTTACTGAAACTTGTAAGCTAATCGAATCACACAAAAACCCACATCATTTAATGAATCATTATTTAAATAATTTGGTTAAAGGATCACTTTGAACAAAAATAAAAATAATGACTTCTCAATAGAGTATATTTCAGACAGAATAAACATTGTGAGGTAGGGCTTTCTGTAATTTTACTATTATAAAATATTATTTTCACTATATCATAGCGTAATTCACTTTTTCCCATCAATCGTGAACTTGATAAGCATTAAGTACCCATACATTCTACAAAGCTCTTTATGTAGAGACTATTAACAAATAATGTTTTGATTTTCCGGCAGTAAGTTGGTTAGTGATAATCACCATTTCAAGCTTTTTTAGGATTAGAATATCAGTCACAAATTATATTGGATAAACGCAAAATTATTGAAAGCTGTTATTGCACTACACTTGGTTGACCAACCTGAAGACCCTAGATGTAATGCCTAACAAAGTAATTTGTAAGTTCTGTTGAAGAGAGCCATATTCGGATAAAACAGTTGTCCGTTGGTTTGAAAAATTCTGAAAGAACCCTCACTGAAATTAACAAGTGACTAGTACATCTTACACACCAACCGAACCTTCACAACAGGCTTATAGCTAACTTATTCAACCATTTATTGTTTTGAATAAAAGTCATTTTAAGGTAACTTTGAGCTATTCGTTTCTAACTGAAAATCAGTTATAAACTCATGAAAACTATTCCTGTACTGAGATGATAAGTAATGAAATAATTATAATTTCGTTTTTTTCTTTACAGAATGGGTTACTACTAAAGTTACATAGAAATTCATTTAAGTCTAATGATAAAAGTTAGGTTTTTTTAAAAAAAGTGAATTATCATAGAGATGTTGACACACGACAAATGTATAAATAGTCAATGTAAATACTAACTTATAATCATTATAGGTATATTCAGTTAATTGAAATTGAATTACACTTGTTACTTCTCGTAGAGTAGCACAGGCAGCCAACCAGCACTCACGATCCAACCCTTTCCTGGGCAATCCTTTTCAGCTCTTTCAAGTTCTTATTCATCCTTTTCATATTTGCTCCTATTTTCCGACGTAATGTGCTCTTTGTCCTTCTTTTTTTCCGTTTCCCTTCACGATTACAAGTTATCGCTTGCCTTGTGATGCAGTTTGGTGATTACTGTAATGTATGTCCTATTCATTTAAAAACGTCTTTTCCGAATTTTCTCTTCAACTGGAAGCTGGATTGTTCTCTTCCACAGAAGGCTGTTGCTGATGATATGTGTTCAACGTGTATTCAATATCTTATGTAAACAATTGTTTATAGGTACTTGTACCTTTTTAACATTCTTTAAATAATCAATAATTCTAAACCTGTCTTCAAATAAATACGTACTTAAAATTCAAACTATTGATAAAACTTGTCGTACGGATGTATTTTGCAAAGATTTTAAGAGAAAAAGCTCAAACTTACATATAAGAACATTAATTATTCACTTACTTACGCCTGTCACATTTCGTGGAGGAGCATAGGCTGCTCACCAGCAATCTCCATTGAACTATGTCCAAGACAATTCTTTCCAGTTGCTTCCACTTGCTATTCATTCTTCTCATGTCTGCTTTCCATTCTCGGTGAAGTGTATTTTTCGTCATTGCTCTTTTTCGTTTCCCTTTAGGATTGCAAGTTTGAGCTTGCCTCGTGATGCAGTTGGATGATTTCCTTAATGTGTCCTATCCACCTTCAGTGTTTTTTCCTAGTTTCCTCTTCATTTGGAAGCTGGTCTGTTTTCCTACACAGAAGGCTGTTACTTATGGTATCCGGTCAATGTATATTGAATATCTTGCTCAGATAACTATTTATAAATACTTGTACTTTCTTGATGATAGTTGTACCTCGCTAAAACAAAAAACGCTAACTGAAAAAAATATATTCATTTAGATTGAATATAAATATTAAAATATTGTTTCTTTTTTCCTTAAATAAACTATCTTTTATAAAGAAAACAAATAAAGTAAGTGGCTATCAGGATTCAGTAGCTGAGTGAATAACGCGATGGCGTTTGAAGCGAATAGTACCAGGTTCGAGTCCCGGAGTGAACAACAACTCTGAGATGAATGTACATCCAGCGGACAAGTCCCAAATAGGACGAAACGCGCATCCTGGATTCCGCTGCTAGTTACTATCCATCACTGCTAACAAAAAGCTTGTCAATTAAGACAATATCGAGGCATACGCACAGTATGCACATATGCCAATAACAGACTGATCAATTGCAGTCTTAAAAAAAAACTCAACGGGAAGATGCAAGTCAAACAATACCGATTGAATATTATACACAGTTTATAAAATTATTAAAATTTACAATATAAGTATGTTTTGTATTTTCTATTATTAAATATGAGTAAACTAATGTTACTTGTTACATATTAAATCCTTTCTATGATCAAGGTCATATATTCAAATAAGCCAATCAGTAAACAGGCAGTTAATGAAACACTAAGTCGATGTAAATTGATATTGAATATTTAACCAATAATAATAAAATTACCTTGAAAAAAGAAATAATAATAATATGCATTACATTCTTTATTGAGTATTATGTATATTTTCTTTTGGAGTTTAAAAGGATAAATGAATATAGTAGTATTGATAATAATCATAATGATAAATGTTTAATATGAAATAAACTATGCGGTTTTATAAATGGTCATAGTAAATACCTTTAAATACCTATTCATACCTACTAATTATATGGATACTTATTTTACATTGATTTCTAAATTTAATTTATAACAAAGACAAAACAAAACAAACGATGGCTAATTTGGATTTTACAGAATTAGATAAATGGATGACAGATTTGAATAAGTTGCAATCAGTAAGTAATAACTATTTTGTTTAAATCAAATAATATTAAATTCATTTTTGATTGAGATCATGAACCGATTGATGTTAGATCACTAGCTTTGGAAACCTGGAAGGACTATCACCATTGGATGCCAGCTCAGTGGTCCAGTTGGTTAAGCGTTCGCGCACGAGACCGAATGCCCCGGGTTCGAATTTCGCTAGCGGGATCGTGGATGCGCACTGCTGAGGAGTCCCACGATAGGACGAAACGGCCTTCCAGTGCTTCCAGGTTTCCAAAGGTGGTTGTCTAACATCAATCGATTCATGATGTCAATCAAAAACGTAATAAGCTTCACAACCTCCATACTAATATTAAATTTATTTGTTTAATGATTGTTTTATTTGGATAATTGTAATGAAATTTAAAGTGATTCATAATTCAATAGTTGAATTCATGAGTCAATTAAACCTGGAAGTATTAGATGACTGTTTCATCCTAGTATGGGACTACTCAATAGCGGGCATTTATGATTCCACCTATGGGATTAGAACCCAGGACCTATCGGTGTCACGCGTGAACTCTTAACTTCTAGACTACTGAGCCAGTATCAAACGATGTTAATGTCTAACTTCAGCCAATTCCACGAATACGATTCATTATTAGTTTAGAAAATGATAGTCTGGATCCTTTAAATATTCTTTTAGATTGGACGAATCAATAGTTTGAGAGTTTTAATGTATTTTGTCATGTAAACTTTCAGAGTAATTTATTTAAAGCTTTTATTCAGTCGTTTTCAGTAGAACAGTTATTATCATACACAAACTTTGCGGATACAGTGAACAGAAATCTCTCAGATATTTACGTTGAACAATATAAAATTATTACGAACTAACTAGCTTGAGTAACTGTGCCATTTTTACCACAGATATTTCTAGGCTTAATTCCATCATAGTTTGTTGAAACGTCCTGAACAAGAACAAAGTATTTACTCAGTGATTTCATGATCTCAAAAGTTTCCTTCATACATTTATCCAACTTAATAGTACTTAAATGTGTTTATTAGCTGACTGTGGCAATTAATTTAGAATTTCAGTTTCAAGTTATTTACTTATATTAAACAATTTTTAGGACTAAAAGTTAAATTGATGAGTTTTTAAAAAATAAGCTCTATGACTTGTCGAATTGTACTTCATCGTAACAAACAAGTGATTGGTCAAGTAGGCTATTTATTAGCAAAATGACTATCTGGTCTACTTATGGTCACATTTGCAAACGTTTAGTCACCTTCCGGACTACATTTAACTACCTAACATTTGAAAATAGGACACATGATGATGACTTAGTTAAACTAGTTACAACATTACAACTTAATCTATAGAATTCGATTAGAACAAAGGATGACACAAATATGAAACTGACAACCATACAGTGACTAATTAATTGCAAATATCTCAATCCTACTGATGGTCAATCTCTATTCGAATAGCCCAGAGATAATTTCTTAGACAATAAAGTTGTGTACCATACATTTGAATCCGTTAACGGACAACAGTTTTTTCAAGAATATGAGTACACCATCATGAAGAGTCCTGGTTTTGATCTTCGTTAAGCTATCCGATACTTATTCCTAAGGAGTTTTCAGTAACAGTAACAAACATTCAATAATCTCATTTTAATGCAAATCATTTTATCTTTCAAGATCATCTATATAATGTAGGAAAACGTTCTAACATTTCTAATTGTACACAGGTTTATAAACAATTATTAACTGTCTCACAAGTTGAAATCATGAGTCAGTTGAAGCTAGACCACCATTGAAAACCTGGAAGCACTGGACGGCCGTTTCGTCCTAGTATGGGACTCCTCAGCAGTGCGCATCCACGACCCCGCACCACCCGGGGCTCGAACCCAGGACCTACTGGCTTCGCGCGCGAGCACTTAACCATTAGACCACTGAGCCGGCATCCAACGGTGTTAATGTCTAACTTCAACCAATCCACGAAGTTGCGCTACCGTACACCATTGTCCTCAGTGAGTTCCTATCTCACAACAGACCTGGTTGAACTCCACTGGTAACGACTTCTCACTAGAACTCCAGAAGTGTCTCCTGAAGTCAGTCACTAGTGAGCAGGTGATTATTATTATCAGAATGGGTTTTTGTGGAGATTTTAGAAATTTCACAAGTTGAAATCATGAGTCAGTTGAAGCTAGACCACCATTGAAAACCTGGAAGCACTGGACGGCCGTTTCGTCCTAGTATGGGACTCCTCAGCAGTGCGCATCCACGACCCCGCACCACCCGGGGCTCGAACCCAGGACCTACTGGCTTCGCGCGCGAGCACTTAACCATTAGACCACTGAGCCGGCATCCAACGGTGTTAATGTCTAACTTCAACCAATCCACGAAGTTGCGCTACCGTACACCATTGTCCTCAGTGAGTTCCTATCTCACAACAGACCTGGTTGAACTCCACTGGCCGTCCAGTGCTTCCAGGTTTTCAATGGTGGTCTAGCTTCAACTGACTCATGATTTCAACTTGTGAAATTTCTAAAATCTCCACAAAAAAACCCATTCTGATAATTATTAACTGTATCAAATAATAATGAAGTCTACTTTTCAAATATAATTGATTCTAACACTCTATTATTCATCCTAAATTATAATCAATATTTTGTAAATAGGTTAATATGATAAAACACCAATTTTCTAAAAGGATACACATTCTATTATCTATTTATTATCAGAAATCATTTATCCAACTCATAAATATCTATCTATTCCTTAAACTAACAAACATTATTTGTATTCTCATTGAAGAAAATCTAACAGGCATCAGTTGATTCTTCAATGGATCATCGTTCAAACCCCTTTCATTCAATCATCAATTTGTTCAATCCGTTATTAGAACTTGAGGCTTCGGATTGTTAGTACTTTTATTGATCATTATTATTGATAAATATCAGCATGTAAATTAGCAGTTCAGTTTTCAAATGAGTAACAATCTGAAGTTACAAGTTGTCACAAAGTGAAACAATTTATAAAGGTTTTAATAATATTAGATTATACATGGATATTGATAGATTATGTTTTGGAAATTTTAAGTCACTAAAATCTGGTATTTTCTTCTTAATTTCACCCAGTAACAGTGTCAAGTTTAGGTGATTTGAATCATAGCAACTATCTTATCACCGATTTCGACTATGGTTAATTTTGGTTAAGCCCTTTTATTATCTTAACAGATAGTGTTACCGTCATGATCACAAGATCACATAACAGACTCTAGTTAAATTGTTGATTGCTTAAATATCATCACTCGATGATTCCTCCTCCTTCCCATGTATGTATATGTACTCAAATCATATTATTGGCTATTACTTTGCCTTGGTGCGCCCTTACACAATTTGACCATAAATTTACTTAGGTAATTGTTCGTATAAACGTATTCACCTCTCTGCTTCAAATTCTCTCGATGTGCTCATAGTTTCGTGATCTAGGCTATCTGCAAATTAACTGTAATTGCCGCCTCTCATTGCCTTCTGATTTTAAACACCATTGAGGTTTATATAATAACGGTTACGAGGGTGACTGATCAACGAAACGAATTCACTACAGATTAAAAACTGACCTATTCACGTTGGTCAAACATTATACTCACTTATACTCTTATGTAATTTAACCATTAATTTGTTAACATAATAGAAACTATAATGTTTACATCTATTTATTCATAAATATAATTTATAATCATTAAAATATCAATTATAAGTTAAGTTGTATTATTCATATCAGGTATGTTTACCTATGGAAGAGTAGATTAACTATCGCATTTTTTCCACACACAAAAAAAAAACAAGCTGAATAAACACTTATTTCTGTACTTAGGTCATATTCTATTGTATCGGTTCCCATCTTATTAGTTACCTTGATTATATGTATAGAATAAATTCTTGTATTAATGTCATTATTTAATTTTGTCCATTTATTGATTAGTGTTTGTTTGTATTTATTTTTATTGACAATGTTTGAGTAAACTGAAAAAAGTTTCTAGAGTTTCTCTTGAGTAAAAAAAATACTCACTTTTATCATGGTTAGTGAATCTACTTTGAGTGAAAAGTAAATGTTATACATATTTATACTAAATAGAATACAATGTGATATGAATATAATCATGATATTTGAAACTATTTTGATAGATATACAAAGCAATAAAACGCCCTATTCTATAAGTGGAATAATAAGAAAGATTAGAAATTTAAAACATATCAACATAGTTGAGAAATTTTTCATCATGATGAGTGTGGGTTTTCTTATATTAAGTACAAGTAAGTTAAGAGGACAACAATTTAATTGGACCGTGACTACTGAAAGACTTGAAGTTTATCTGTGACATTTTCATGTGTGTGTACCACTAGAAAATTTATAATGTGATGAAATAAGTGCCCAGTATTTCCTAATTTACATTCGTATCTTAAATAACGTTAATTCGTAACGATTATTAACAGCAACTTAAACAAACATGTGGAATAACACTGTGACAATTTTAATATTCTGTAGGTGGTTACATCATGATTTGACATCCATTATATAATCAGTAAGAAAAATACAAATTATTGGACAATTGGTTTTATCCTAGCGTGAAACTTCTCAGTAGAAGGCATAAGAGAAATTGTTGTGAATCGAACTCTACGCACTTTGTTAAGCTTCCTGACTTCAATTAATTAGCAATATTGCGGAAAAATCTAGTGTTATTGATGGCTAACTACTCATATACGATATTATTGAATCCTAATTGTCGTGGTGTCCCATCGGAACTAAGATCTTTTACTACAGTATCCAATGCTTGTTTAACTAAGACTAATCTACGGTAATAAACTATGTGATTTGGCAATCTCCACAAACCCTGTTTGCTAATTTCAATGTTTGCCGAGAAATGAAAATATCAACAATAGAAACTCATTTAAAGCGCTTAAAAGTTAAAAGGGCATGATCAAAACATTTAATTTTTTCTGTTTTTAGTATGATTATTACT